TCGTATTCTACATATACAGTATATCCCCGTACTTCCACCTAGAGCAAAAAAACGAGTGAGAGAGAGGACGGCTGGCCGCAAGGAACTTCACCTGCCATTCGTTGTTCTACCTAGCGCCAAGTACGATAACAGTGGCCGTGATTGTATCGTTAGCAATATATCTTTCGACAGCGGGCGTTGTAGCAGTGGCTGTAGACGGCCCTGGAACTGCATGGCAGCTACAATTGATGCAGCCTTGTATCGAACGCACATGGGGCACTGCGTTCTGAACTATTTCGAAGCCCGATGAATACTGACAACAAACGAGACGACTGAAAGATTGGCTTCGTGCCTACATCTTAAAATTTGCGTTGAACAAAGTACCGTCGAGCGCCTTGGCTTGTCCTTCATATCCGCTATTGCTTCTCCGTTCGCTGTCGCAGGTCGCTCGTAACTATCGCCATCAATCTGCGAACGCCCTGGAAACGTGCTCAAAACAGGACTTCGAATTGCAGAAAGTGATACTATTTCTGCTTCATCAATGAGATAGAAGAGAACCAGAACTTATTAAGGCATCGCGCTAGATTATCTCAAGATAACAGCATATATCGTCAACGCTGATATACTGAACTACCAAAACCAGGAGGTCCAGTGACATGCCAAATACTCAGAAAAACCAGCAATATAGTATCTTTTGGCTACTATACTTTTAAGGTAGAGAAAGTCCGACAAACCGACCTTGCTCTAGTTGACAAGACCCGTAGCATAGCTACTATGACGCGGTTAGATTCGAGGATTTAGTACGAACAAAGGAAACAAAAAGGAAAGACGTACCGGGAAGATAAGCAGCGCTGCTTTTACATACGCTGCTACTAGATAACATAAATGAAAGCTGTAAACCGCCAGCAAATGAAAAAATATTGTAGAGATTGTCAACACAGGGTCATAATTAACAACAATGGATGGCAATGCTAATATATAATCATAGACTTAGCAGTCTATAGTCATTCATTTGATCAGCTGGTTGATTTCCGGGTGTATCTACATGGGCGTAAACGTGAGTGCTTTTCATCGCCTCTTAGCGTGTTATCCAACGAATACATTCGCATTCGGAACTCAACAAGGTGAGGTGTCATGCTGTTGATACGTCCTTCCCGTTACCCCTCATGAGTAGCGAGCCCAGTAGTCCCTAACTCGTCCTTCCTTTAGGATTGCCTCCCCTCGATTCCGTGTATGAACGAATGAGCGAACCAACCGGTTAACGAACGCATCGAGAAGATAACGCTTTTGGCCACTCTCACATTTTCCTTCGTTGTCTCTCCTTATTATCCCTCTCAGGCGAGCGTAATAGTTCCTTTGTGGCCTAAGGATTTGCTGACGCGGTTCGATGCGGAATGACGGGCAGATGTCGCCGATTGACCGATCACCTTAGCGAGAAGATTGCTCCTACCGCCGTAGCCAGTGGCTCGTAGCCAGGTGGCTCTGATGAGGCCCAGTGGACAAGACATCGGTGGGCCTTTCCTTCCTAACCAATGACACTGGACGAGCAGCAGTCGTAGCACAGCTGACAGAGTACGCGGAGGAGAGTGGCGACAGAGGGCTGTATGGAATAGGATGGACCTTGGATGACCAATGATTGTCATGCTAATCCCATCCTTTGCAACCAAACAGACGACAGAAGGAGACCCGTTCACCAAGAAACCAAGCGAAGGATACGAGATGAAGTTCCTTCTCTAACAGGCTGATATAGGCAAAACTGTAGCTTTCTGTTCCGGGTCAGGCAGTGCTGTGCGTCGAGAACCCAGATTCTTTAACTTATCTATCAGAGTCGGTGCTAGCGTCCGCGGCCCTTTATTGCCGGGGGCTTTCAGAAGCGGAGAGTTGGGTTGAACTTACGAGCGTAAGCTGGGGAAATAGTTGGGCTGGGCCGAGCCTGGTAGAGAGCACCGAAGCCACGACATAACGAAGAGAAGCAATTGAATTAATTTAGCTGCCGGATGCTTTCTTGAGGGCAACTCGCCTTTAGGCAGATGCGAGACTAAAGGTTGGATGAGAGGTAGCCTGGTTGGATTCAGTCGAGGCGGACTTCATACACGCTTGGCAGGACGGCTGTTGAGTGACGTGACCGCATGTTCAACCTGCTGCATGCAACGCTAATTTGAAGATGGGCAGTAAATGCGTAAGGGAACATGATTGCTGTAAGGAAAAAGATAAAAGGCCCGAGATTTCTCAACCTTATCCAGAATGCGAATGTATCGAGTTGCGTTAATCTTGTAGTGACCCGTATACTTTAAAATAAATCAAGCAAACATTTGTGCTGGCTACCGATAGAGCAGGATATCCGAAAAAATATCTACGAAACAGAGTCTGCAACAGATTTTGAACCCTGTCCCTATTGAATAGAAGAGTCTTTCCGGACTAGAAAAAAAAATTATCGGATACTGTCCTAGAAACAATAGGGTAGACCTCAGTTCAACGGTAAGTGTACTGCTAGTCATTTGCCGGAGACGCCTGTAGTGCTAGCTGGCCCTACGATTTGAACCCGCAAGACTGAAAATTGTTGCCGCCGTGGCCGCTGCAACGGCTTGTGTAAGGGAACTGGCAAAGAAAAGCTGCCATACCTTTAGTTGGCACTGCTCAGCTGCCGACCAGCCGTTGTTGCCGCCTATGGCCAGCGGAGTCGCCGCTCCATTAGTATGCAAATCAGCTCCAAATGATCGGCCATCACCACTCCCCCCGCCCACGCACACATCTCGAGGTTGCCGTCCCCGTCCCAGACATCTTTGTATAGTGGGGTCCCACTGCTTCACCAACCCCAATGATTATTTAAATTAGCCAAAATAAGCACAAGCCTTCGTTGCCAAAGTCTGCTGCTGGTGTCCCTGCCGTTGCATTGGTTCAAGCAAGTAGTCGGCCAGGATAGCAAGGCTTGGGTTGGCCGGGCGTCACCCGTTCGCTTCTCGGTCGCCGCTGGCCGTTGAAGAGTGAGAAGCGAAAAGCCAAAACCCCAAGCTGCGCCCAGCTTTGCTGAGGTCGGGGCGACGGAGATGGGACGGTGACTTGGCAATATCACAAATTGCACTTTAAATTTTCATCCCTCGCGCCCGTGACGACTCTCTGGCGAGTCGCGTTCGGCTGCAAAGGGTGAAATGGCAAATAGGGAAAGGCGAAGCCTGAGGGGGAAAGCGCGGGTTACCAGCAAAGAGTGGTTCCCCAGAAAGGTGCTAGCGATACCACGGAAAGGAAAATCGGTCGGCATTTTGATAAGTCCGCCATTGCGGCAGACACCCGGCTGAACTACATTCCTTCATTCAGCCGATCACAATTTTCCACTGAATAGAAAGCTGCAGTCATTGTATATAGTTCCATTAAGCACAAGGCGAAGACGTACGTCGATTAAGTATCACCCTTCAGATAAGCGTCTATCTTATTAGTCTCGCTAGGGTAAAGACGCGATTTCTCGACAGCAGCGGCAGTGATTTACGTGTCACTAGGCGACGCAAAACAAAAACATATTTATTACTGTTACTTCTCTTAAGCTTAGAAATTAGTAACTGGACAAAGCTGCAAGAAACAAACGAAAAGAAGGCAGGTAGCACCAAAAAGCTATGGTCATTGTATCGGCAGTGTTTTATTGTAGATTTGGCACTAACTATCAACGTCAGGTCAACAACTAGTTGGCCTATGCTGTATGTCTTTTTGCCAGTTTGAGCAATTTTTGTCGCCATCAGGCCAGCTACGCTATGTAGTTAGGTGAGCCGATTGAAATGCGTTCCCTCTATAATGCGACACGCTAACAGAGCGCCGAATGGAGACACATTAAGTCTCGTATTCACTGAGCGCATCGTTACCCATCTCGTTGTCTGGACTATTATTCGGCAATGTAAAACCATTAGCGGCCAACAGTGCCGCAACCTTAACGCGTCGCCGCGGCTACAGCTGTACAACAGGATTGGACGATAAAGCCATGGGGTAAAACGAGTTCACGACTGCATTTATCTGATTCCGGACGCACTCACTGAGTAAGCGACCCTTTATATTGCCGTTATAAAATACGTAAACGTAGATATTTACAATTTTACGCCTCAACGTTAGACCCATCGTATCAACTTTTAGAGCCTAGATTTTCTGTAGCGGTTCAAAATGGCCTTATGACTGGCAAGCAAACGAGATGACTAGTTAATTGTCGTGCGTAAAGTGGGTACGAATCAATATAAGACGGCCAAGCAGAATAGTACCCATTTGGTTCACAAACGATTTTTTACACAGAACTTGGCATTTCGATCCGTTTCGAAAAAGCACCGTATTAAAATTCGTGTCAAAGATCGCTCTAACACGTTTAGTACGTTTGCCGGTAGCCCGTTCCACAGCCAGGAATAGATAGTTCGGAAAGCTCCATGTTAGATGCCACCCGGTGTTTACGCACGAATGATGCTAGTCGGCGAGAAAACATTGACACTGTTTGATAATTGGGTACATTTTTACGTCTCTTCGGGCTGTGCAAAGGTGATCCGATAGAAGTCGACCGACAAATCTAACATGGGGCATTTGGAAGGTCCTGGACACAATATTGAATGCATAAGGGCTCCGCAGTAGTCTTTCATACGACTTGTGGCCGGGTTTGACTTTTGCAGACTACAGCTTACTAACAATACATTGATGCAAGGCTTATTGGCCGAACAATCGTGCCCGAAAGCTGAGAAACTTGGAAAATGGCCGTCTTGCTCTGAACGAGCTAGAGTTCTATCTATGGCGATTTGCAAATTGCCCAATAAATATGGAAGGACCACAGATAATAACGGTTATTACTTCAGCTATAAGAAAAATTTTTCTGTTTCAGAAAATTAACGTTGGTCGAAAGCGAAAAGAAGATGATTCCTCGATAGTTTCATTTCAAACTCGCCAGTGCATAATCCATACGTCATATGACAATACATCATATTATTCTCTGTGTATACGCGCACGCACGGATCTATGCACGTCTGCTATGATAACATTAGCTCTTCTTCCCTGTCTCATAGGCGAATTTGCCCAGGGAGAAGGCTGTCTCACGCCGTGGTCGTTCACGATGCATCTGAGCGCTCGTGCTTCGTCTATGGACAGCACGTAGGTAAGACTTGTCACGTTCTATAGAGTCTGAGCGAGATCCCGGTCGCTTAGTGGTCCAGTAGGCGAATACAGAGTGATGCTCATTGCGAAATACAGAGAAAGAGAAAAACGAGGGCAAAAGGGAGGGTGGATTGAGAGATATAACGAGAGTCGATCAGAGCACGTGATAGAGATCTATACGTTCCAATGCGTTTGTAGTCATTTACCACGAGTCAGCAATCCGCTTGTTGTTTCTTCTCTGGCCTCGCTTGCTTTCTTTCTCGTCCTGGCGCTGTACAATAGAGGGACGAGGAGCAGACTGGAGGAAGGTGGGGTTACAGCTCGACCGATGGCAGGCATACTGCAACCGTTGTGGAAATAGACGTCGATAGAGATATATGCATGTAGTGTTCGCACCTAGCCGTTGGAAGAAGCATGCATGATTGCAGACATGCTACTATGTTAGTACTACGTACATTCGAGTATGCTTTTAGTGTGCACATATAGACACATGTAGGTACGTCTGTTCAAGTATGCGCAAACATATATATGCGAGCTAGCATATTCGGTCATCTGTTATATGGACACGGTAGCCTTGCTATGGCCATCATACTTGTGGCAGGCCTCCTCATGAATGATGTTCATCAGTGGCAGCGAGATGTTGATAGACAGACATATGGCGGCCGCTGCTACCATACTTAAGCAGTCCTTCTAGCCGTCAACAACCGCTATTTATGTGTACACTGTCATGTAAGGGCTGACGGCTCGCCGGTTAGCGGTTGGAGACTGGGGTCTGTCAGACTGGCTAACCGTTCTATCCCCGCTACCGTTAGTGCTCTGACTGCTTACTTTAGATGACGCTGAAAATAGGCGTGTTTAGTGATTTAATCTCATCAGGGCAGCGGCCGCTGCTCGCGACATCGGCGCTGGTATCCACCACAGCGACTCGAGTAGTAGTGTTGCGTAGCAGCAGCTGCGGTGGGCCACAACTGCTGCCACCCCCCTAACCCCCCCCCCACGATTGCCGACATCCCAGCAGCAGTAGTGATAGCGGATGGCAATAGCTTTGTTCAATCTAAAAACGCTACTATTCGTTAGAAGAACAGATACAGAAGCAACAACAAAGCTGACATCAACAAAAACAAGACCGAATCACCAAAGCATGGCGGGTACGAGAAGCCACACGAACGGTCGACAGGAAGATATACGAGTTCGGACCTGTCATTAGCTAAAAGCAGCGTAAGACGTGTAACAGAAGCGCTCATACACACAAGCTCCTAAGCAGGGCCCGATATCTATATATATA